CTCCCCTGTCTGCTTCCTGCATGCTACCTGCATGGGTAGGCAAGGCCAGTCCTGGAGGCCTGGGGACCTTGATGTTTATCTGGTCTCAGGAATTCTGGCTTATCAAGGCTCCCAGGAACTTCTTTTTAAGCCCCTCCAGGCAGCTCACCTTGAACACCGCAGCCCTCCCAAAATGTAGCATTTGAAAGTTCAAAATCAGCCAGGTAATTTAGAAAGAACCTTTGCTTCCCCAAAGATCACAATAAATTTTCATGGAAAACAAAACAAACAAGAAGAAACACCAAAACCCTGGATGCTCTCTCTTCCCTGATATTAATAGAAACCACAAGGAGAAGAAAAAGCAAATACATTTACGATAGTCAAATAGGTCTCTTTACTGAGCCGTGTCTTGAAGGCACCAATACCACTTGTCATCAAATCTCAGATGTTTTTGATCAGAAGATATGCCATGTACCATTTATTGTGTTCATATGTATTCATGTGTGTGTACGCTCTTGTGTGGGGGTGCTCATGTACACGTGTGCACATATGTGGAGACCAGAGGTTGATATCCTGTGTCTTCCTCAATTGCTCTCCACCTTATTTTTTAAATAAGGCCTCTCAGTAAACCTGGAGCTCACCAATTCCGCTAGTCTGGCCAGACAGCAAGCCCCAGAGAATTCTCTTTGCCTCTGTCTTCCACACTGCTGGCATTGCAAGTGAGTGCTGTCAGGCCAACCTTTTTCTACATGGGTGCTGAGGATCTGAACTCAGGTCCCCAATGTGTTATTAAGAAAAGAAGTGTGGGAGCTATAGAGATAGCTCAGTGGTTAAGAACATGTCTGCTTTTCCATAGGACCTGAGCTCAATTCTCAGCACCAAATCACGTGGCCCACAACCACCTGTAACTCCAGCTCCAGGGGATCTGACACCTCTGGATTCTGAGGCTACTTGCACTCACACTCACAAGCACAAATCCACACACAGACATAGACACATACACATAATTAAAAATAAAATCTTCTAAAAAGGAAGGGAAAAAAAGGAAGGAAGGAAGAAAGAAAATGTTGGAGGCTACAGAGATGGCTCAGTGGTTACGAGTGCTTCCTGCTGTTGCAGAGGATGGGAGTTCAGTTCCCAGCACCCACATTAGGTGGCTCACAACCAACTGTACTTCCAGCTCCAGGGAATCCATTGCCCTCTTCTGGCCTCCTTGGGCACATGCACTCACATGTACATACCCATACATATACCTAAGACTCTTAAAAATAAAACAGTTGAAAAGAAAAAGAAAACATCCAAGGTAGGAAGTGTCACAGGAAATAATGGAAGGCCACGTCATAAGCTCATCTTCCTGCAGGAAAGGATTTCATTACTGGGCTCTGCTCTCCAGGTGGTTCTGGGGGTACACACACTCCCAGGCTTCTTCCCTAGATTGAGACTGGCCAGGCTGAGGAGGAACAGGGCAAACTGGAAACCCACTGTGCAGAGAGGGATGGTAAGGAACCCTGAAGCCTCTGCCTTGGTCCTGGTGGAGAGAGCAGTGCTCTGGGCTGGCCCTAAGTTGGTTCTCACTCTGAAATCACATTGCAAAGGGAGTTCCCAAGGGGTCTCAGGAGCTGGTGGCTCCAGATCACTGGCAGAAGCAAACATTAAACCCTCTCTGGAGAAACTCAGTTTCAGTCCCAGCCAGTGGTCATGGCAAAGCATCAATCACGAGCTGTTTCTAGGTTTCAGAATATTAAAACTGGAGGAAAAGCAAACGGGGCCTTGATGTAGACAGTATACTTCTCAGAGGGAAGCTCAGCAGCCCCATCCACTGCACCCCACTGCAGAGCACCTGGCTTCCTACAGACTGTAGCCACCATTGCTGCCATGTATAGAGCACTTACTGGATGCTAGGTGCTGTAAATGGGCTCCATACCAATCACTCCTATCATCCTCGCAGCAACGACACTGCTGTTTACTGCACACAAAATTGAAGCAACTTATCTGAGGTCACACGGGAAGTGTGTGGTGAGCTGGGCTTTGAGTGCTTCCTCTTCTCCAATGTCTGGAAGGTGCTGCCAATCCAGCATTAAGAGATATCACCCTGGCCTGTGGAACCCAGCACACTCTCAAAGGTGCAATTCTCCAGTCAAGTTTCTACTGTCTAAGTGGAGATAATTCTGAATCCCAAGAGGTTGGCCTTGGCTTAGGAGTATATTGGGACCCAGCTGGGCAGCCCTGCCCTTGTGCAGGGACCGGAGGAGGTAGGCATAAGAACACAATTCCCTAACCCCTTCCCAGTGGCTCCTCTAAGATGTTAAGTGGAAGTATCTTTGTAGGAGCATTTCCCAACTTCTGAGACATGGCCACCTCCAATCACCTTTCTAGTCTGTGTCCTGTCCCTCCTGACTCTGACTGACTTCAATCTAGGGAAGAGGCATACCTCCTGCCAGGGAGCTGTGTGCACCTCCAGGGCCATCTGGAGAGCGGAGCGGTGTAATGAAATCCTCTCCCTGCAGGAAGATGAGCCAGGTTTTATTACAGATCCTATCACAATGCAAAGGGCTGGGACTCCTGTGATTGAGTTAATCCTGTCGCCACATAAATCAATAGGAAACTCACAGGAGGAGATTTGATTTAGGATGTTCATTTTGGCAACCTGGTCTTCCCACAGCCACACTATGGCCTAGGTACATCTACAACAAGTGGCAAATTTAATCCCAACAAACCAGCCTTAATAAAATAAATTCTTATCCCTCCAAATAAAAATTCAGATGCATTTTAGTCTCCTCTTGGTCCAGTAGGCTGAATTCCTTAATCTACCAAATTATTATGGAAAATCCATATTGACAGCCTGTCAAGCTCCCTGCTGTGATGGGAGCGCCCTCTTGGGAGGTACCAGGTACTCCATAGTCACCTAGATTATATGCAGTACAGTGTCTTGAAGCAGGCTGTGCACTTAAAATATAACATAGGATCTGGGATGAGGCTGAGACAGACTGACCAACAAGGGCCAAAAAGGTGACTCAGGCTTCCCAGGTGGATTGTGGGAAGAGAGCAGAGTCCTCTGACTCCACCCTGCCGCCATTCAAGGGCTTCTCTAGGGGCCAGCTGGCTGGGCAGAGATGGGCCAAGGGCTCTGGTTGTTGTTTCTGCCCACCAGGTGTGGTTTATTCTCCTTTAGGGCTGGTTACTTTGAGTGAAGGCCTGTGTCTTTCCAGCAGGCAGGGGCTAGGAAGCATCCAGGCCATGACCCAAGGCCTTGTATTTGTGGATCTGGAGTGACTGCATAGAGCTGATTCCCCCTTGGCTAGGGTAAGCAGGGGCAGTTACAGATCTAGTGCAGAAGAGGGGAGTCCCCAGGTGCCAAAAGGGGCCCTTGGCAGGAGCCTTTGTGAGTATAGATTTGGCTTGTCGGGATTGGGCTTCTCACCACACCTCCTCCCTTTCTCCCACCTCCATTAGGGTGACTCAGGCCTGCAGAAAGGATGAATCATGTAGGTTATGAAACCCAAGGACTCCTGAGAGGGGGACTGGAAAGGCCTTCAGGTGGCCCTCCGCAGATCCTGCCCTTTCCTACCTTTTCTGCCTGCAGCACCTCTGGCCCTATTTGCCAAGCTATACTCAAGCACAGCACCAGAAAAGACAGCACTGCTCCCAGAACCTGAGCATCGGTGAAGCAGCTTCCTTCCAGGCCCCAAGGACTTCTCTGCTTTGTTTTGTTGTGTTTTGTTTCCCCCTCCTGTATTACTCAGGGTGAAGGTTTGGTTTCCACATGGGGCCAGTTGGGACTAACTGGTCCTGGGATGCATAACAGAAGAGATCTTATAGCCATCCTCCCCTCCCATCATCGCTTGTTCACAATTCTCGAAGCTGCTCCAAATAATTATCTACTGGATGCCAGGCTGCTCTGGGCGGGAGGGTGAAGATGATTCAACCCACTTTCCCACGGACAGGTCCCAGATCAGTGGGTACTTTTAAGAATCTACAGAACACCAGCCACGTGGCAGGCCCTGGGCTCATCAAAACAAACGTTATTGTCACCTGATTGCAAGGCACTAGCTGACCTCATTCTCAAAACAGCTCAATGGGTAGATGCTATTGTTACCCCCATCTTATAGACTCAGCAAGGACGGTAACGTGCCCAAGATCACGCAGATGCCTTGGAACTCACCCGCACAGGCTGTCCTGGCCTGGCCGCCCAGCCTCAGTACTATACAGAAATACTATCCCCAATGCTCTCGTTGACTCGAGCTAAGTCTGCCACATGCCCTTTGCCCATTCAATGAGGCCCAGTTCTGGAACACCCTACTGTTTACCTGGCATCTTTCCCCTAAACCCAGTACACGCACAAGCCCACTGTCCCTAGGTTGAGCCAGGCAGTCTGGGGACCCCAGCAGGTGAGTGCAGCCTCTAGGGGCGCCGACCAATAGAAAGGCGGTGACCTGTGTCAACTCCTCCGAGGAACCGGGAACTCAATGCGGGATGCCCAGGGCCCTTCCAGTTCCTGGCTGAACGCGCGGGCCGAGGAGGTTGCCACTCCGCTCAGCGCTGTGTCCCGAGAGCACCAAAGTCTGAAGATAACTTCCCCCGGTGGGGGGCGTCTCGGGCCTCCCCTGCGCCGGCCCGGGGGCTCCTGGAGAGTCCCGGCCGCTCGAGTACAGCGGGCCCAGGGGCGCCACCCGGCCGCGCGGGCGGGAACGCGCCTCGGCCGCCGCCTCCTCCTCCCCCCCACTCCCGCCCGCGGCGGCGGCGCTTCCCCGGCTGAGCGGCTTTAAAAGGCGGCACCC